GCGGCGACGCCGACGACGACAACGATGACGACGACGGCGACGACGGCGACGACGACGCCGACGACGATGACCACGGCGACGACGCCGACGGAGACGGCGACGACGCCGACGACGACGACCACGGCGATGACGACCACGACAACGACGACGACGACGGCGACGATGACGGCGACGACGGCGGCGACGAATGCGACGACAACGACGACGACGGCGACGACCACGGCGACGACGACGACGACGACGACGACGGCGGCGACGACGACGACCAAGGCAAAGACGACAACGGCGTCGACGACGACGACGACCGGGGCGACGACGACGACAACGGCGACGACGCCGACGACGACCACGGCGACGACGACGACCACGGCGACGACGACGACGACGACGACGGCGAAGACGACGACGATGACGACGACCACGACCACGACGACGACGGCGGCGAGAACCACGACGCCAACCACGACGACCAAGGCGACCACGACGACCACGGCGACGACGCCGACGACGACGACGATGACGACGAGCACGGCGACGTCGACGACAACGGCGACGACGACGACGGCGACGACGACGACCACGGCAACGACGACCACGGCGACGACGCTGACGACGGCGACGACGCCGACGACGACGCCGACGACGATGCCGCCGACAACGACGAAGACGACCACGGCGACGACGACGACGACCACGACGCCGACGCCGACGCCGACGCCGACGCCGACAACGGCGTCGACGCTAACGACGACGACCACGGCGACGACCACGGCGACGCCAACGACCAAGGCGACGCCGACGCCGACGACGACGACGTCGAAAACGACGGCGACGACGACGACGACCACGGCAACGACGCCGATGACGACGACCACGACGACGACGACGACGACAACGACGACGACGACGACGACGACGGCGACGACGACGACGGCGACGACGACCACGGCGACGCCGACGACGACGACGACGACGCCGACGCCGACGACGACGACGACCATGGCGCCGACGCCGCCGACGACGACGACGACAACGACAACGACGACGACGACCACGGCAACGACGACGACGACCACGGCGACGACGACGACGCCGACGCCGACGACGTCGTCGTCGTCGTAACCGTCGTCAGCGTAGGAGGGCGGGAGGCCGAGGCGGAAGAAGAAAAAGTGCGCGCGAGGGAGCAGACGGAGGGAGGCCTGGGGGCGGGGGGGGGCGGCGAACGCGAGGGCCTTGACACCTGCGGGCACGACAGCTCCGAGCCGCCAGCGGTCTCTGTCATCCCCTCCTCCTCCACGGTCGGCGTGACACCCCACCCCCCCTTCCCCGAGCCTGCCATCCTGCCCAGGGTCCTTCGGGGGGGGGGGGGGCGAAACCTGGTCCTAGACCCTTGGGCGTTAACACCTGGGGGGGCGATAACACATGGGGGGGAGAAGCGTGCGCCTCCCGTGCCCCTTCGGGGCCTGAAGGGAGGCCCCTCCAGGGCCCCGTCAGGGCACAACAGGGGCACCTGTCTTCGCCCCTGTCTTTGCCCCGGCGTTGCGCAGCGCTGGAGGCTCAGGGGCTTCCCCCCCGGACAGGCCCATCACCCTGCGCCGCTTTGCCCACGGCCTTGGGCCCCAGGGAAGGCCCACCACGAACGCCTCAAGGACCAGACCCCTCCAGGACCAGTTGCTTCTCCCCGCCGATCTCGCCAGAGGGGAACCCAAATAGGCGGCGAGCCCATGGAAGTAGTGAAAGGGGCCAGGCCTTCTCTCTCTGTAGTCTCGGAAGGCCTCGGGCCTTCTGAGCAGTTCTCTGAGACTCCCCTGAATACACCCCGCAAACATCGGAATCCGCGAGGGCTTCCGAGAAGTCCCGCCGCCTTCTGAGAAGGCCTTCTCCCCCTCACCTCCCCCTCCCCACCTGGGCGCGCCGCCGGCAGAAGCTTCTGATGCCGAGCTTCTCCCCGCTGCTTTGCCCCAGGGCTCTCGAAGCGACTCCAGCCGTGGCAGCGAGTAATGCCAGGAGGCACGAAAAGGGGCGAAAGCGGGGCAAGGGCATCGGCTGCTTCACGCTGGTCTAACTCAGGAGGAGGAGGAGGAGGAGGAGGAGGAGGAGGAGGAGGAGAAGCAGGACGAGGAGGAGTTGGAGGAGGAGGAGGAGGAGGAGGAGCTGGAGGAGGAGGAGGAGGAGGAGGAGGAGGAGGAGGGGGGGGGGAGGAGGAGGAGGAGGAGAAGGAGGAGAGGAGGAGGAGGAGGAGGAGGAGGAGAAGCAGCAGGCGGGCCGGGCCGCCTGGGCCGGGCGCCCGTTCGCCGTCCCCGCAGAAGGCACGAAGGCGCACGCGCCGCCAGCGAGCGCGAGGAGGGCGGCGACGCGGGCGAGGGAGGCCATGGCTGCCGACGGGGGCTGCGGGCGGCTGCACTCGGCTGAGGGCTCCCCGCGCTGGCGGTCGGGGATTCACTGGAGGAGGAGGAGGAGGAGGAGGAGGAGGAGGAGGAGGAGGAGGAGGAGGAGGAGTTGGCGAAGGAGGAGTTGGAGGAGGAGGACGAGGAGGAGGAAGATGCGGAGTATTCACTGCGGACGGCTTCACTGACCCGGGTCAATCCAGACCAGGGTCAGTCAGGCTTTGCAAGATTCTTCGAAATCCTGCGGGATCCTGCAACCAAGCCCGGGTCAGTGCGACCCTGGCTCTGCAAAATTCTGCAAGATGCAGCGCTCTAACTGACTCCCGTTTGCATTGACCCCCGTCTCTTGAGCCCCGAGGCGGGCCTCTTCGAAAAGCGCCGGGGAGGAACCGTGGGCTGGAAACGTGTACATGTCCACGGACGCGGCCCCATGGGTATTTGGAGCGTTTTTGTCGCGGATGCCCCTCGCAAAAGATGTCCATGTGACCGTGCATCCACGGGATGACGCCCTGGAGTCGAGGCCGCGAGCGCGTGGATATTGACGTGTCCGTCGCTCGTGGAGGAAAGCGGGCGGGTGGGAAGGGGGGGGGGCAGGGGTGCGAGGAACACGGAGGGGGAGCTGGAAGAGGGGAGGTGCCTTGGGGGGAGGGGGGTGTATGGGGGAGAGAGCGAAGAGGAAGAAAGAGATGGATGGAGGAGGAGGAAGAAGGGGCCTCGTGACACACAAGGCCCGACGAGGGGCTGCGAACCAGTGATGTTGTGATGGCCGAGCGACTGCTCGCGAGAGCGGCGACCGGCGGCGCGCGTGGTGCGGCGAGCGCGCGCGGCACACGGGCTGGCCTGAGAGCTATTCAGTCCGTGCTGCTGTCTCAGGTTCCACCGAGGCCCTGAGAGTGCAGGTCGGGCCTGCAATCGCAGGAGGGGAAAAACAACACGACGCGACGAATCGCGTCCTCACTCAGCCTATCAGGGCGGAGCCCGAGACAAGAGGTCAAGAGGATGGCGAGCAGCGGGGCGGGCCACCGCGGCAGCAGTAGTGGCTCTGGTCATCCAGCTATTCTGGGCAGCCAAGAAGACAAGTCTGGGTGACTCTCGGGAGCCTGTACGAGGTTGTCCACGCACCTAGGACAGTTTTGATCACAGCGCTCTGGACGGCAGTCGTGCACAACACTAATCTTTTAAAGGGTCTGCCGTGCACTGTTCAGTTCAGGTCGAGTGCTTCTAACTCGGCCTTCGGCGTCAACTTGGCGAATCGCAAGCGGAAGGTGTAGGGCGACGGCATCAGGGAAGAGGAATGAGAGCAAGACGCATGCAATGATGCCTTGCGTGCTGATCCGGCCAGCATGCAACACTTCGCTCGCTGCTGTCGCAGCTGCGCGACGAGCGATTCCCAGTGCAAGCAGGGCTTGAGCGGCGGTCGAGCTCACGTGCCTGTTCTCGGGGAACGCGGTGGCTGCGTTCTCCAGGTTGAAGGCAATGGTCGGCGACTTCCAGGACGGCTGCGATCCATCTTTCATGACGATGTGTAGCGCGGCAAGCCCTCATTCATGTTCAGCAGTAGCACGAAGCACTTGAAGCCAACCTTGCCACTGCGGAACGGTATCCAGCGCCATGCGCATCATGGATGGGTCGCCCATCGGCCCCATGGGGGGGAGGAAGTTCAGGTTGGACCACTTGGTGAGGCTGAGGAAGACTGCTCTCGAGCCGCAGTTGCCAGGCATGTGGAGGGCCTTGTGAACGTCCCAGTGGTTCACGTCACGGAAGACTCCTGGCACACTGGTCTCCGTGAACCGCGCGACGCAGCTCAGGACGGATATGGCGTGTGGCCTGTACATGCGGATCGAGGTCGATCTGGGGGCTCCCGCGCTGGCGGGTTTCACAACCCTGCGCTTGCACCTTGGAAGCAGGAGGGCCCAGTGCTCGTTCGAGATGGACGGCCACAAGAGAATCCCGAGGTACTTGGCAATGTCCGTGGTCTTAAAAAGTGGCCCACTCCTTCTGGTAGTTGCCGGGCCAAATCTGAAACCCGTCGACCATGGACGTCGTGAATGGGCCGCGGAGCGCGATGCCGACGCACTTGATGAAGCTGAGGTGGATATCAGCTACCAGCCAGCAGCTCCACGCTTCTGAATGAAGCTCGCACTTTGCCCAATAGAATACCACTCTCCAACATTGCTCCGATGTCGTCCGCGAATGCTGTGAGGCACGAGCGCGGGTGCAGCTTGAAAGCCTTTTCGAAGCGTATCAGGGTCGGACGGGCAGGAGAAGGAAAGAGAGGTAGTAGGCGGAGAAGGTAGGATGATATCCACGAGGAGAAATAAAACGTGTATGATTTTATAGACAAGGCGGGGAAAGGGTAGGAAGAGGAAGAGGGATATGAGGCAGAACGCGATTGACATAATCAGCGAGGCTCGTCAAAAGAAGGGACGAGTAGGCGGACGAGAACCAGAAGAAACACGGCAGGGGCAAGAGGGATGAGGGGAGGAAGCAGTGACGAGCACCAGCGGGGGCCAATGTGTCTGGAGCCTCTCCTGAAGAGGCCCATCGGGGCCAATCCACGTCGGGAGAATGGCACCCGCAAACTCCCTTGCCCTGCCCCCCTTCCCCCCCACTTCATCCGTGACTCGGTACCTGGTGGCGGCGCCCCCAAAACTAGACTCGGTGATTCCCAGAGTGCGTCCTAGCGCGAACGTGCGCCTGCCCCACCGAAGCCCCTCGAGACGACACAGACGGTACCGCGATGGCCGACGCAGGCCGAGCGGGGCAGACACACATTGGGCCAGCACACGCCCTGAGGATCATCGACAGACGGCCTGCGGTCTGACGTAGCTAACGGGAGACATGGCGACTCCAATCCCCGACCTTTGGGAGGGATTTCGACTGGACCAAAACCTGGTGGGCCCAGTCACGGGATATACTACATATATGTATGTATATATGTATGTATGTATATATATATATATGTGTGTGTACGGTTGTGGATGCCATGACAATGGACACTCTAACAATCCTGCCATTGAATTTCAAAAGTGCTTAAACTGCGTAAAACATGTTCTAAAAATGTTACAAGCATGTTTTTGCACATATTGCAATCATACTTAAAACATAGTTTTGACATCTGGAAATTCTTTGGCAGCATGCTTCCTCTCCATTAATCGACTTCCACAACTATACGAGGGGGCGTCTGTCCTCGACAGGGGTTGTTTCCGAGCAGCCCCCTGGGGGTGCATCCCAGGGTTCACACACTGTTTCGGAGCGGCCACGCTCTTCGGGCGAACCCCAGGGAGACGAAAACCGCCCGCGACGACGGACGCCCAGACATGCGACGCCCTGATTATTTCAAGACGGGCCCCCTGGAAGTCCCGACCCTTTTGGGACCGATGTTTTTCTTCCCGAGTCGTTGTTTGACGCCCCCGAGGCCGGGCAAGGGCCCCCCGAGGCCGACAATCCGTGTTGATAGTACTTCACGACGCGGTCATGTCTGGGCGGCCTGCGCTCTGCCAGGGCTCCCGTTAGCTCGGGCATGTCCTCCTACAGGCGGACTCTGGAAGCACAAAGGGAGATAGTAGTTTTCATATAAAAAATAAAAAATCAAAGAACGTACAAACATCGTATCCAGATCATTTTTGTGGACATTTTTTCTTGACAATCCTCTTCTCTCTCAACAAGAACTCGACGCCACAACGGCTACAGTACATCAGGCTCTGCAAACGCAAAGGCAAAGCAAACGAAGCAAGGGGTATGTATTGGAGGAATGGATGGGAGGAGCGAGAAGGGGAAATAGGGGCCATATCTCGACACCCCCCCCCCATCGAGCCTCTTGCCGAGGTCCTCACATCAACTGAACAGAAACCTCCGATCAGCCGCCTCCTGCGGCCGCCCAGTCCGTGGCACCATCGGTCGCGGTGCACCAGCGTCTCTGGGCTGTCCGCGTGGTACAGCGTCGCCCGTCTGCCGGCAACACGGCGCAGCAGATCGAGCACGTCCCGCACGTTGACATCCACCTCGTCCGATTGGCCAGCGCTGGGCAGTCCGGCGTCACATGGACCATGGCCGTATAGTCGTCGAGGTGGTACACCGGCAGCATTCGCGGACGCCCTCCGCGGAACCGAACGCCGTCTCCAGGCTTCGATGGTCCCGCGTTCTCGCCGTCCGTCTGTGGCCCGACCTCCCAGGTCGCAGGTGGTGGTGGTACCGACGTCGGCTCCGTCGCCCCCGACGTCGCCGTCTCGACCGTCGGCCCCGTCGGCATCTCCGTAGAGGATCTCGATGTAGTCGGTCCCGTAGGTGTCCTCGTATTCGCCGTGCGCGCCCTGATGTGCGCGCACAGGTAGCCGAACAGCAGACCGATGATGACGCAGCTCAGGGTCTAGGCGAGCATGACCATCATGAGCGGCTCGAGCCCTCCACTGTCTTGGTCAGGTTGCGCTCTCGCGCCGCTCACCAGGATCATGAGGGTCGCCAGGACTCTTGCCAATCTCCCTGCACTTAGCGCCGCGACCACCGCGCTACCGAACCTGTCGACCGCCGCCAGGCCGAGCATGGACCTGCACTTCTCGAGCGCCGCCTTGCCGAGGAACTTCGCGCAGACGTCTGGGGCATTCTCGATGCCCTTCACCTTCGCGATCTTGATCTGGCCCGCGCCCGCAAGTTGTTGGAGCCAGAGCCACTTCGCCTCGAGATGTCGTAGTCGTCCGAGTCCGCGTCGCGCGGCGATGGCGACGGCGGATGAAGCGTCGCACTCGATCTCCATCGACGTGTCGAAGCCCACGAAGAGAACGATCTCGCGCAAATAGAGCATCTCCGCCGCCAATTCCCCTGCGCCCATGTACTTGGCCTCGGGACTCGACTGGGCCAACGCCGGCCCTGTGCGAGCGTGTGCGCTTATGGCCACACCGCGCCAACGCACGATCCCGCAGCAGGTCGACTTCCTGGTCTCGTGGCATCCCGCCCAGTCCGAGTCGGTGCAACCTCGGAGTCGCTTCC